CATGTATTCAAACATTTTTAGTTGGTCCATTCATATATTTGGGGTTCATGTCCTTTATTGATGATTTTTCTAGAGTTACTTGGTTATATTTGTTAAATGAGAGGTTTGAACTATTTTTTGTATTTAATTTTTTTTCATGGAAAAAGAAACCCAATTTGGCTCCACTATTTGTGTTCTTTAATCTGATAATGCTAAAGAATACATGTCTACACCATTTACTAAATTTTACAATGAACATTGTATCCTACATCAAACATCTTGCATTGATACACCACAACAGAATAGTGTATCTAAACACAAAAACCGCCATTTTCTAGACCTCATTATCCAAATGCATGTGCTAAAAAATTTATTGGAGAGGCGTAGTTATTATCTCATTAAATAAATGCCTTCATCAAGCTTACAAAATAGGATACCTCATATTATATTGTTTCTTGATGCCCCCTTGTTTAGTTTACCACCTTGCATTTTTAGATGTGTTTGCTTTGCTCATTTCTTTGATCGTCAATGTAATGTACTTCATTTTCATTATCAATAAAAATAATTCTTTTTATCACACCTATTTTTTAATTTGATTAATAAAAGTATTATAAATGTGTCAAATTTTTCTACATTTTTATATTTTTTTATATTTATTTATATTTTAAAAGTTTTGTTACCTAACTATGACTTCATAGGTTTATCAATTTGATTTGGATGGTTGAATTGATTAGCCACCACTTGGATAAAGAATGTTTTTGTTTTTTAGTTAGTTTTAAAATATATGGGTTTATATTGTTAAAAATATTGACATAGATCTAATTAGTACCATTTATTGGTAAAAAATAACTTAAATATAAGATTTAATAAGAGAAAATGGGAGTTAATACATGTTGATGCTCGGATTGGCTGAGGACAACAAGGTAATTTCGCTCCTGAGCTTCGGTGGAGATGGCCGAGGGCTTCGAAGGTCCGAAGGAGGGGAAGCCAAGGCCGAGGACTATGTCTAAGGCGGAAGGTCTTCTTTGAATACTGTAGAAGCCAAAGGCTGGAACCAAGTACGATGTGTAAGGGGTCCGAAGGAGGGTCCTACAAGGACAGATGTATCAGAGGCCTCGGATTGGTACCCGAGGCGAGGACTCCGATGATCAAGTTAGTACGAGCGTAAAGTGAGTCAAAGGTCTGGAGCCAAAGGGTCTAGACGAGGACTTAAATAGCACTTAAGTCCTCTGGAGGGAAGTAGTGCTTAGATATTACTCAAGCTCCAAATCAAGTCTAAAGAGTCTAGCCCCTTACCTCGTGAGGGGTGCTTCATATTTATAGCTAGAGTAGCCTCGGAATAATTGGGTTTGGAGGTCCAGATACGAGCCATACGAGGGCTTGGAAAAATCCTCTACCAGAGCCACGCGGCGCTCTTGGATTGGGTTCGTCCGGTCCGCGCCTAAGCCCTGAGTGTCCCCATGGTACGCTCAGGTTGGCGCCCTCTGGTTCAACACGCATCAACCCCGTACAGGCCAACCAAATGCACCTACATCACTTGCCCCCCACTCCCGAGGCTGAGGGGGGGTTAAGAAGAGGCCTCAGCTTTCGTCGAAGGGAGTGTCAATACCAATAAGTGTCGTTGGGCCTCGTTCAACAGAGTATACCCTATAGTGTCGTTGCCTTCGTCTCGGTTTTGCATCTGCCTGATTTTCAATTCGTGGAGGAGTGAAGCTATGGATGCCTCGGTGGAGCCGATTCCATGCTTCCTACTTATGCGGTGACAGTCTGGGGTCGTGTACGGCATGGGATGGTGTTTGATACGAGTCTAGCATAGGGAGAGCCTTCCGTGAGGGGGATGGTCGTCTTCAAGTGAATCGGTTCATGCGTCCACCTGGTCCGTTCACGCAAGCCGGTGGGTTGTAGCGTGCGGACCTGCTGGTTCGCCTGGCGTCTTTCATCACCTCGAGGCTCGGCATCAGTTGTTAGACGTCGTTTCGTCTCCCCGAAGCTAAGCATCATTCATCAAATTCCATTTTGTCTCCCCAAGACTAAGCGCCAATCAAGCATCGTTTCATCTCCAGAGGTCGAGTGACGGGTGTCACATCCTGAATGGGCAGCGAAGGCAAGAGACTTGCAGCCGTTGGATTGGGCAAGATCTGTGACATCCATTCTCCTATAAATAGAGGGCTTAGTCGTGGTTCTCTCGTCATGTCTCTAGGCGCCCTGGTTATTAAGTGAACAGCTCCTAGACCTTCAATTCTTCAACAAACTTCATATTCTCTCTTTTTTCCTCCATCTTCTAGGTAACTCCTTTAAAACATGTCTTTCTCAGACTCTGGTCCTGAGTGCTATGAACTTCCAAACAGTTCAGAGGAGAGCTCTCCTCGAACCCCTTCTCCTTTCTCTTCCTTGGGTCCCCTAGCTGTTGTTCCCTTTCGGGAGGAGGTGATGGTGCTGAGGGAAAGAGTTGCCTCTGGGGGTGCCAAGGGCAGCCACCTAGGAGATGACTCTCCCCGTGAGAGCAATGCATCAGTATTGTCGAAGGAGCCTGAGGGGGAGTTAGTCCTAGAGACCGTCCTGTGACCTGTGGCTTGGAGCGCTGCCCAAAGGGTGGCCGTAGTTGACCTTCCACGCTCGGAGTTTGATAGCTCCTTAGTGGTGGACCAGGTCTAGTCTTTAGCCAGGAGGTTCCACATACCTCGGATTGACATACTTAGGGTTCCTGGCATCGATGAGTGGCCGTGGACCCCCGATGAGGGGGAAATCTTCTTATACCAGCATTTTTTGGAGTCTGGCCTTAGGTTTCCCCTTCAACCTTTAATCTCTGAGTTGCTAGAGTGGTATGGCATCACTATCAGCCAGCTCGTCCCCAACGCCCTTAGGACCATTATAGCCACGCTGGTGTGGACTCGGCTTCGGGATGTGGAGTTGACTTCAAAGAAGTTTCGTGCCATGTTCGTGCTGAGGAAGCACACTTCCAAAGCCAGCATGTACTACTTCCATCCTCAAAGAGAAAAACCAGTTTACAACCCTTCTTTTGTCCATGGCTGGAAGGACAAGTTTTTTTATGTCTCTTGCCCCAAAGGGTGGAGGTTCAGGTTGAGGTGGGGGAGAGGTCAGCGTAGTATTCGACAAGTGTCCCCCTCCGCTCTAGGACGAGGAGGCCGCTGACGTAGCCCACCTACTCGTGATGGGGACAATCCAAGCCAAGCCATTGGTGGAGGAGGAGACTCTATTAGTGTTCGCGGGGCTCAACCTTGCCCCCCTCGGTAAGAGAGGTCCTACAATTCCTTAACACGTTGCCCCTCGTCCTTCTTTTGCGATGCTGGTCTGTTTTCTTTTGCTTGCAGAGGTGTCGATGGATGCCAAGAAAATGTTTATTGAGCGTGCTCATGCCAAGTAGAAGGAGCGAGAGTACCAGAAGGCAGGATCACAGACACCGTAGAGGCCCGCCAAGGGCACGCCCGTAGAGGCCCGCCAACATCCACCACCAACCTGCTGCCGACCTGAAGTACCTCACTAGCCCATGGCCCTTCGCACAGTGGGCAATCGACATTCTTGGACGATTGCCGCCAACGACAGGACATAGGAGATTCTTGGTGGATTACTTCACGAAGTGGGTGGAGGCGGAACCCCTAGCAATAATCACAGCACGCAGCGTACAAAACTTCTTTTGGAGTATAGTATGTTGCTTCGGACTACCTCGAGTGCTTATCTCTGACAACGGTAAGCAGTTCGAAGATATCAAGTTTCAAAACTGGTGTGCCGAGATGGGGATACAGCAGAATTTCACTTCGGTGGCACACCCTCAAGCAAACGGGCAGGCGGAAGTCACGAATAGAGCTATACTCCGCGGTCTAAAAGCCCGCTTATCCCGAGCTAAAGAACTATGGGTAGACGAGCTACCCAGTGTATTATGGGCCTACCAAACTACCGTCAAGACCGCCATAGGTGAAACCCCCTTCAACCTCACCTATGGCACGGAAGCGGTAATCGCAGCCGAGATCGAAGTGCCTACATTACGCTTGGAGGCATACGACGAAGAAACCAACGATGACGAGCTCCGTACCAACCTCGACCTGGTGGAAGAAGTACGGGACCTCGCATACATCCGGACCACAGCTTACCAGCGAAGAGTGGCTTGGTACTATAACGCACGGGTTAAGAAGCGGCACTTCCGTGTCGGAGACCTAGTCCTTCGGAAAGTTATGGTGCTTGAGCCCGGTGTCGGTAAGCTCGGACCAAACTGGGAAGGTCCCTACCCAGTAAAGCGGGTACTCGAGGAAGGTACGTACGAGCTCAAAACCTTAGAAGGAAAACAGGTACCACTAGCATGGAACATCAACAATTTAAGGCGATACTACATGTGATCGTCGAACTGGAGAGTGGACTGTGAGTCACTCCCAGAAGTCCAAGGACTAAAAGTGCTGAACTGATAAAAGACCTCGGCGTCATATAAGTCCTAGTCACCTCTTCTGCTTGGGCGAGCTAGTCCCAGTCACCTCTTCGGCATGGGTGATCAAGTCCCAGTCGCCTTCTCGGCATGGGCATATAAGTCCCAGTCGCCTCCTCGACATGGGCATATAAGTCCTAGTCGCCTCTTCGGCATAGGCAAATTACTTCTAATGCCTAAAGCATAGACAGCTCGGGTGTGAGCCCTACGATGTCTAGCCCATTTCGACATATATCAACAGGCTGGGCCCGTTAGGGACAACCGACATTTAAATGAGTAGCCCGAGCGTTGATAGGTCGGGTGCATACCCTGCAATGTTGCTCACCTCGGCGTACGTTATATAAAGTGCCCCTACTAATAGTCCAAGTAGATAGTTCGGGGTAACAAACACTTAGATAAATTTTTACTTTGGTTATCCTTGTTGTCCAGCCCGGTAGCTCGACAATTCGGATAACCTATACACTTGTTGCCCAGATCGGGAGTCATTTACACTTAGAATATTTTTGCACAAGGATTTCTCAGAAAAGTTTGTATTTCATTAATGAAAAGAGTGTAGGTACAAATATTTCATTGTAACCCGAGCTCGGTAGCCTTGGGGCATACGTCCAAAACACAGAAAGAAGAAAACACCAGATTCACTCATGAAGACTGTCAGCAAGGAGGGTCGGTCTCCATGTGCTCTCCCACGTCCTCTTGACCCGAGGGGCCTGCCTCTTCGACTTTGTCGTCGCTTTCCTCCTTTGATGAGCTGGGCTCTTCGTTTGCCACCTCTACCACCTCGGGGGTAAGGCCCGACATAGAGATGATTCCGAGATCAAGATCAGGGAACTCCTGCCACACTAAGTACCTGCACAGCTTGAAACCGGAACGATAGGAGTTCGATCCATATTCGACCTGGATATCGTGGAACTTCGAGGATTCCTTGAAGCGTTCGATGGCGTGGCTTCTCTCTTCAGCTCGTGCCTCTTGGATGGTGGTCTCGAAGATCTTAGTCCGCTCCTGGATTGTTGCTTCGAGATTCTCGATCTCTCGTTGAAGCTTTGCCTTCTCCTCGGTCAACGTTGATATTTGCTCCTATTGCTTCATTTTTTCCTCGGTCAACGTTGAGATTTGCTCTTGTTGCTTCATTTTCTCCTCGGTCAGTGCGGAGATTAGTTCTTGTTGTTTCTCCTTCTCCTCACTCATGACCAAGATCAGCTCCTGGTGGCTTCAAGCTCCATTCTTGGCCCAAAGTATCTCGCCCCGAGCTATGTCCAGTTCACGGCATCCCTAGCCTGTTTCAGAAGGATCTCGGACTGGCACATTAACGAATGAATGGCGGAGTTCACCTAGCAAATAAAACTGAGGTAAGTACATTTGAAATTGACAAAGAAATAAAATGTAAAGTAAGAAACTTACCACCATGCAATAACCGACAACTTGGCTTCCGAGCATGGTTGTAGACATGTCAGCCCACTCCGCGACCTCGTCAGGAAAGACGGCATCCCTGCTCTTGCGCATTCTGAGCCGAAGAGTCATTATGCTCTCCTTGGAGGACTTGGGCCTCGGTGTAGAAGCGCTCTCTGGCCTGTGAGGTTGGACGCTTTTTTGCTTGGGTACAGAAGTGCTCCCCGGTTCATGAGGCTGAGCATCTTCCTCCTGGTCGTCATCCATGTCCACTACGGGGGGTTGAGGACGGACCTCCTCCTCGGGTAGCTCGATAGAGATCGGCTCCACGGCAAGGACTTCGGATGGGGCAGGAGCGGAAGGATCAGCCTCCCAGCAAAGCTTCTTTGAAGCCTTCCTCTTCTTCCCTCTCTGAACGCTCTTGAGAAGGTCCTTGGCAATGACCTCTGGCATGGTAGCTGCAAGCATAAAAGGTTAGTTGCGAATTAAAGAGAACCTTAAAGTAAAAAACCAACTCGCACAAGCTTCTCCTCGGCCAAGAAATCTTTCATCTTGAGGCCGAGGTCCCTCCACGAGTTGATAACTGCCCTAGTTTCCGCATTTAAGCTCACCCCGGGATCCTTGATAGCCACCCTCTAGTGAGTTGGAAAAGATCACCCTTCAGGATTTCGGACAATGAAGTACCTCCTCTTCCATGCTGGAACCTTGTTTGGGCAGCCGAATAGGATTTTGAACCCAGGCTGAGGAGAGATGTAATAGCTTTGTCTAACATCCCCGTGCAGACAAGCAGAATTTCTCTAGATCGCACAGATAGAGCTGAAGGTATCTGGGGACTGAGGTCGGTTATACATGTGGAAATAGGAGATAGTACCAACTATATTCCAGATGGAGTTCGGATGTAGTTGGTCGATGGTGACGTTAAAAACCTTACTCCTCAAAGACCGCGATCTCATGGTGATCGTGAGCCCAAGGATATTGACCTAGAGGAAGACTAAAGACCAAGCTATCAGGAAGACGATAGCAAGCTACTAAATACATTAACCTATCAGAGGTCAAAGTAGAAGGACCGAAGTCATCTGGATCCCAAACCCGAGAAGAAGACGGGGCCTCTGTTCTAGAGGATGAACCCTCTTCTTGAACCTCGGTCTCCCTGAGCCGAGATGGCTCAACTTCGGGCATGGAAGTTCCCTCTAAAGACTGAAGAGGGGAGTCGCCCAACGACGAGTTGACCTCCCCAGCAGGGGCCGCGGATTGCACCACGGCACCCTCAACCTCGCTAGAGCTACCTAAGAGCCTATCTATGCTAGAACCAGACATGCTTAAAATAGAAAACAAAGGATAAGCAAACAAAGGAAAACATAAACTCACCAAAAAGAAGGACAACCTTAAAACACAAAGAGAGAGCGAGCTGAAAGACTCTGACGCGACATCGGGAGAGCTCAATCACAGAATTTGTGGCGAAAAAAATGAGTCACGGACCCCCTATTTATAGCTGCTATGTCCGAGAACTAATGGTCGAGATCGAAGAAATCTAACGGCTCCTAGGAAAACTGGTTGTGCGACCCCTGAGGATAAAATCGGTTTAGTGCATTTTGTTACGTCCGCGGAGTTTATAGATCGTGTGACATTCGCGCATAGGCCAGACGCGACCTGGGTTTTCCTGGTTGTGCCGAGTGGCCGAACAAGTCCGACCCGTGATTCATCTGGCTAGCTGCCTGGACCTCGGACCAAATCCACTTGGCTCGTCATGAACTCCCCGCACTGGGTCAGGACCCCTGGCTCGGGGAGTGGGGGGCAATTGATGTAGGGTGATTTGGCCCGACCTAGTAATAGGGGGACACGAGGACATGACCTAACTAGCAGGATGACAGCTAAGTCCAATGCACCAAGTTTGCAACGGATCGAGCTCGGACAACCAAACCACCTCGGGGCAAGTCCACCTCGGGACAAGTTCACCTCGGGGCACGATCACATCAGGACCACCTCGGTCCCAAGGCACTTCAACATTCATACTAGGTCGGATCCAAAGGGCACTAGCTCGGGTAATATTGACCGACCATTGCATGGCAACCCCGAAGATCTCGCCACCAGATTCCACGCCTCACGGGATCACGCCTCATAACAGCTAGCATTATCCCCCCCGTCCGATTCGAGCGGAAGTGATAAATCCTATCAATTGGCAGCGTTATCCCCAGTTAACACGGAAATGGACCTCATCGTAACGAAGATCCCGGAACTGCTCCGCGAAACCCGCGAAGGCTCCACTATATAAAGACTCCACCCCTCGGGGGAGAAAGGTACGCGTAATCTCTGCTCTCTATCCCTCTTGCATTCTAAGCTATTATCAACTCGCAACCAAGTACTAACTTAAGCATCGGAGCAATCTCGCCGAGTAAGCAACCCTGGGTTCTCTGATTTGCTTTTTGCAGATCAACCGAGTCCGTTGTCTACTAGAAGCCAGATCACCTCCAGCTGGGAACAGCCGGATTGCGCTACATCATATTTCAATAAGGATAAGTTGAAAGGAACATGGCCGAGTAAATCTACATACCTTAGGTCCAATTCCACGACCTAGTTGTTATTGTTGCATACCTCAGCTCCAATTCTGAGTAATTCTACATACCTCAACTCAATTGCAACTCCTGTAATGAGCTCAAGTTTCCAGTGCAAGGCTCAGCGCTATCCGATCTCCTTGCCTCCGCTCTCCTCTACTCCACCGCCCATCATGGATGGTTGCACTGCTGGTATTCTCTCTCTCTCTCTCTCTCTCTCTCTCTCTCTCTCTCTTCTCTATTTTATTTTGAAAATTTGTAGAAGAATAATGGGTAAAATAGACTTTTTCGTCTCTCCATTAATGGATGTTAATGGTAAGGAGGTTTTAGACAATTGTCAAAAAACTTAAGAATATTCTAAGACAATACGTAAATAGTAAGGGTAGAGTTAATCAATTAGCTAAACCATAAGAGTAGTTTAAGAAATTTGCCCAAAGTTATTTTATTACAGCTCTTATGTCAAATTTAATGGCTACTAAAATGTTCATATTTGTTTAGTTAGTCTATATCTAATTGTAAGAGTTAAAAATGTAACTTCAATTATTACTTTCTACCCCATTTAATCCCCTCTTACTAAGTCTTATACTTCAGGTATTAACTCTCATTTTCTCTTATTAAATCTTATATTTAATTTATTTTTCACTAATAAATTCTACTAATTTAAATCTGTCAATATTTTTAACAATATAAACCCATATTTTAAAATTAATTAGAAAACAAAGCCATTCTTTATCATGTGGTAGCTAAGCAATTCAACCATCTAGATCAAATTGATCAACCTATGAACTCATAGTTAGGTAATAAAATTTTTAAAACAAAAATAAATATAAAAAATTACAAAAATGTAGAAAAGTTAGACACATTTATGATATTTTTGTTAATCAAATTAAACAATAAGTGTAATAAATAAGAATTATTTTTGTTGATAATGAAAATGAAATGCATAATTTAGAACTGACCAAAAATGAAATTATTCAACTTTTGGGTTGAATGTGTTAACATCTAATGTCATAAATAAATAATAAAAATGAAAACATATATACAAAATGAAAAAATATATAAATTTTGCAAATAAAAACATTTAGGCACATGTATAATATTAAATAATTATCGTATTAAACAAAAAGTAAGTGTGGTATATCATAATTATTTTTACACTGAGAAATAAAAAAAATTATAGAAAAACTGAACATATCTATAATTCTATATTTACACTACTATTAAAAATATGGATAAGATTATGGAATTTTCTTTTGGGTAAAATACTCATTTTTTAATTTAGACCCCATTTGATGAGGTTTAAATTGTAAAGTGGACTACTACTTTTCACCTCATTCAATTCCCCTTATTTAAATCTTACATTCCTTTGATAAATGAACAAAAAAAAAACGATACACCCAAAGGATAAAACATTACAAAAAGAAGAATCTAACTAAGCAAGTAGGCCTGTAAATACTTGAAACTTTACAACTCAATCCAATTATCACATATTTTGATGTGATTTTTATGTAATTAGATTTGGATTTTTCCATCTACATCCGATTAATAATAAAAATAAATAAAATATGAATACAAAAATAAAAAATATATATTTATAGAAATTTTTTAATACATTATTAATATCATTATCATTATTTAGAATTGACGCGTGCAAAACATATGTATACTTACTAGTATCATAAAGAGAAATGAAGACTATACCTTCTTATTAAGCACACCAGTCACAAATAGATGATTGATCGTCTCCATACTATGTTTCCCACAACACACTTAAGTGAAGCACCTCTCTTTGTAATCAACTCATCCACTCGGATTGCATTATGCATAAATTTTCAAATGAAAACTGAAATTTTAGGAGGGATACCCAACTTCCATACATATTTGTGCCAACTAATTGACACAACAAGTTGAATCCAAGGCCAATTGTTTTACATAGGTAGGAACTTCAAGCACCATATTAAATAACGAAGAACCATCTTGACTAAGCACACTTTTTAGCTAGAATTCTTCAACATTAGTATATTCTATTTCATGAATTAAAGGGCCCGATCCAAGCCAGTTGTCATACCACAAGGAGAACTTCCCCTCTCCAACTATCCATTGGAGTGGTATAATGCTAAGTGTTTAACTTCAAGCATGTTGCTCCATAATTTAGTGCAAGATGTAGTCTTATTCAATAGAGTAATTGGAGTAGACTTGATGTACTTTGAATGTATAAGGTTGGACCAATATTTTGTTTCTTGATTATCTCGTTGATGGAGTGTATTTCCAACCCACCTTGACGAGGTTTGCAAATTTTTTGCCAACCCACCCAATGTAACCTATTACCAAAATCCAAGACACCCCAAAAAAACATGTTTATAAGAATGATCTTTCCCCCACTTGACAGCATTTTAGCCTTCCAACCTTCAAGTTTATGTAAAATCTTTTTAGTTGAAGGTTCAAAGTCTTCAATCCTCAAACACCTTTTATCAATGGCACCCCCCCAAGTAAGTGAAAGGAAGCTATTTTTGGGTGAAACCAATAACTTGTTTGGTCATGTTTACCCTTGAGGTAGCCATGTTCTTGTGAACCATGAAGAAAGATTTCTCCTTGTTAACAAGTACAAAGATAAACATCATTAGTTTTTGGAGACCCTTCTTATTATCCTTGGCAAAAATCACTGTATCATCAGCAAATAGGCTATGGGAATTAGGAATACAGCCTCTAGGCATGGAGAAGGCACATGACCATTATTGTATATAAAATGTAAACCCCTGTTGAGCACCTCTTTAACTATAATAAATAAGCTACAATAGAGAGGGTCTCCTTATCTCAAAACCCTAGTAGAATGAAAATAGCCAGTAGGTGAGCCATTTATGAAAATAGAGAATTAATAGTTACACATGCAAAGCTTCATTAACTTAATCCAAATTGGACTAAAGCCAAGATTCTCAATAGCTAAGAAAACAAACATCCAGTTCATTCTATCATAAACTTTAATCATATCCAATTTAAATATCACATTACCTTCTCTAGTTTGTCTTCCCATTTCACCAACCATTTCTTGCACCAAGCCAATATTATCACTTATATTTCTGCCCTTTGTGAAAGCACCCTATTCTGGAGCTTTGATTTTAGGTAACAATCTAGCAAGTCTATCAACAAGAATTTTGGCAAATATCTTATAGCAAAAGTTACAGAGACTTATGGGCATGTGGTCTATATAAGATCTTGGGTTCTCTTTCTTAGGGATTAAGACCACAAAAGTAGAAGTATAATACTTTGGTAGTCTTTTAGTAAAGAAGACCTCCTGGATTACTTTGCAGACTTCAAAACCACAATGTCCCAACAAGTAATAAAGAAGCTACCATCAAAACCATCTGGCCCGGGCACTCTCAGGGTTCACAGAGAAAATTGTGGATTTTATTTCTTCAAATGTTGGCACTTTAATCAACTTGATATTGTCATCATAAGTTACCAATTGAGGAATGGTTTGAAAAAGATAGTCATGATTTTCACACCCCTCCTCGGTTAGAATAGACTGGTAAAAACCCATAGCTTTATCTTTAAAAAATAAAATATTCAAGGAATATAGAAATCAAACCCAACTTCAGCTTCAACAATTAGAAGTTCACAAAGCCCTATTTATTTATTTATTTACTTATTTGTGACTAAGCTTGCAACCTCTTGTTTGCAGCCCAATTTTGTTTTTACTACTGAAAAATTATGAATGCAAATGAGTTGAGAGCAATTATGAATTACATTTATTTTATGTTTCACTTGGTTTTGTTTATGAGCAAATGAGTAAAGCAAAGCTTGAAACAAAGCAAAGTAAAACTTGAATAAAAAATAAACTAAAATTTTCACTCTTTTTATTTGCACATATGAACTTATATTAGCATAAATAAGTTTGCATTACAAACATACAAAACCTACAAGACATAGAAACAAGTCATTCAATTTAGTCATTTTAGCTGTAATCAAACGGTTACACAAACAATAGTTATAAGCCCAACAAGATGAAACATCATTTTAAAATCAGCATGATTACTTGTTACATGGCTGAAGGTTTTAGAATCCTATTCATTGCCTATTCTTAGTTATTTAACTTACATATGTTATTTTGGGTGATTTAACTGAAAAACCGAAAAAGCATTTGTTTCCTTACTGGATATATACTTCCTAAGATTCATTAATTTTCTAAGCTTAGATTAATATTTTTATACTGGCCTTATTGAACAACAAGCGAAAATATCTAGTAAAAAAATATTTAAATTCTATTTTATATCAAAATTTTATAAATAACATTCTCATCCGATTAAAACATTTCTGACACGGAGCTATATGAGATTATATTTTAATTAATAAACAAATTACAAAACATTTTCCAAATAGTAATTGATTTACTATAGAGTTTGCATTATTTATATTTATAGAAAACAAAAATAAAAGAAATTTATCCCAACTATTTATGATTTATAACATGCAAACATATAGTTTTTTTTTTCTTTAAGTTTTGACAATCAAGGTTCAAAGTATCAATACACCCTGTGTATCGGCAGGGGCGTATCGGTACTAAAAAACAAGCACTCAATTATTAAGTTTCTTTTTCAAAATTTGATTTTTAGAGATGTTTCTTAAGTGTTTTTTATTGAAATAAATGGGGTCTCGAAACACCTATAAATAGGTGTATCGAGACCAAAAGATACGATACGCCGTATTGTATCAATACTTTGAACCTTGTTGACAATTTTTTATTTAAGCTACTAGTTAGTAGAAACCCAGTTCCGGTCCAACCTGGCTCAACTGTTGGTTCGGATATGGTTGTGTAAACTTCAAAATTAACAACAATTTCTAGACACAGTGAAACCAAGAACAAGAGTTAATTTAAGTATTGTTTTAAAAATCAGACCAACATTGAACCAAGAAACAGAATTAATTTGGGGTAATATTCGGCCATGAGTCTAAACCAAACCAAATATCATAGCCAAAAACAGGCAAAGAAGATAGTATTCCATAATTTTTCAACAAGAAAATTCACTGGTTCTTTTCCGGTTGAACCATCTGGGTCAATGGCTCTAATACAATATTTTAGACCAATTAGGCTCAATACTCAACCAGACCGGTAAGAATCCAATCCAAATTTTTTCCCCTCCAACACTGAAACAATTTGGGGCACTCATACAATACTCCACACATAACCAGAAAATTGAAGATTAATCAGGACCAACCATCGGATAGGTTTCAGCTTTCAACAAAAATCAATCTCAGCCACTTGATTGAAATACTAGTTTTAAGTTTTTAACCACCGGTCAATAATCCCAGTTTCCCTTCTATCAATACCCTCTGTAGTCTGTACCGTACCCCATCTCGGACTCGGACTCAAGTCCCGAAAGAAACTTTTCGGAAACTTCACGTGCCCCTCACAGTAAACCAAACGTGTCTGACACTCTGACTCCAACCACGTTCGTCAATAAAGCATAACTGGAGGGCGTATCAGTCATTTTGACTCCCGGACGAAAAAGGAGCTCTTGTGCCGAGACCACCCATTATTCAACAACTACGCTCCACTCCATTCCCCAATAAAGAGACCAAAAAAATAATAACAAAGCAAAAATTAATAAACAACAATAACCGAAAGTTTTGACCCAGAAAAAATAACCGAAATTAATCGCATCTTTACATCCGATACACCGACATTTCGGAAAAGAATGGTATGCTAAGCCATATTCATTTTATTCAAAATACCTTGCTTCACGTCACATCACGGCGATCCGAAACGAAGGACTGGATTACACCAGATAAATTACTCACAGCTGCAATCAGACTAGAAATCCCTTGCCGGTTCACCTCGTTTCGGTTCTCTTCAATCCGAAGCCTCCGTTCCTCAATCTCGATCACGTCTTGGTGCCGTTTCTCCTTCTTCTCCTCACAAGCAAGTAGGGTTCGAGCCAGGACCGACGCGCTTCGAACTATGCTTGATCCCAGGCTATGCACCTTCTGGCGTTTCGTATCGGATTCTAATCTCTCACTCCGTTCCGTCTCGGCTGATTCCGACGTTTCTAATGTTAAATAAACAAAAAAAAAAAAAACAAGAATTAAAACAGTCTTTCCTTTGTTTTTTTTTTTTAAATATTGATATTGAAGATAAAAGTGTGAATCATTAGGTATCGTGTGATCACACGTCCGAATGATTGTTTCGGGTTCCGATTTGATTAAAGAAATAAACAAAATCATTTGCAGAAAAAGGGTCCTTTTGTTTGTAAATAAAATAGTACTTTATTATCATAAATCAGAAACATGAAAGTAGTTATATTTTTTTTTATAAGTTATTGAATAAGATTAAATAACAGCTGTTGATAATCTGGAATTAATAACGGGTATAATAATGGAAGTAAGAAACTTTAAAGGTATACCTGAAACGGCCGGAGGTACCGTTGGCTCTGGTGGTGGGGGTGGTGGAGGAGGTGGAGGGGGTGGCGGGGGAGGATGGACAATGATGGGTGGTGGAGGCGGAGGAAGAGCAGGGGCAGGAGCAGGAGCAGGAGCAGGAGCTGTAGCGGAGGGAGGAAGAGGCTGAGGGGCTGTTTTTGGGGGGTATCTGCGATGAACAACTTCATTAAGGGCTTCGAAAACCTCGGGGAGGAGATTGGAGGGGAGGTTCCGTTCCTTCCTTTCGTGCTTCTCCATCTTCCAGTACGAAGGATTCTCTTTGGAACCGTCGGATCGGGCCTCGTACTCACGGACCTTCTTGTAGTCGCGTAACAGGTTATCCCACTTGTCGTTGCATTGATTTTGGCTCCGGAGGCAGCCGTGCTTCCAGCAGTAGTTCTCAACCCACTTCCAGCGGAGCTCGACGGTTTTGGTGGAGTGCTTAGGATTGGGGGGGTTGGGAGGGGTGGAGCTGGCCTTGATGCGGCGTTCGTCGTCGAGTTTCTTGGCGGTGATGAGGACGAGGGTCTCGTGGAGGGTCCAATTGCCCTTGCGGTATTCGCGGACAAGAGGGGAGGGGGAGGCAGAGGATGGGGTGGTGGTGGTGCCGGGGGTGATGAGCGGCGGCAGCGGTGGTTGGGCTGGTGCCGGATGGTGGTAGGGGTGGTGATCGACTAGGATTACTGCCGATGCCTTGGGAGGCTCCGACATGGTTTTGGCATTTGAGATGATGGTCCAGAGAGAGAAAAGAGAGAGAGAGAGAGAAAGTGTGTGTGTGTGAAGAGGAGAGGGTTTGGGTATGATTTGCTTGTCGTTGGGGTGAAGAGGGGGGCAAGGGTCGTTTTTGTTTCTTTATTACACACTATTGACTACGAAATTTCTCAGGAGAAATTCAAATTATCACGAGAGGACTTATCTTCATGAATTCTCAAAAAAACTTATGTTAAACATGCAACGCGCTATGGACAATGTAGAGTCCAAGAATTTTATCTTTTATGTGTTTTTTTATGATCAATCCTGTCTGTAGCGAGTCGTACATCTACGCTGGTTTTGGTGCTAGGGAGCAGAGATGTTCTTCGTCATTTATTTATTTTTTTTATTTTGTTCTTTTTAAGTAGGGCTGTGGCTACGAAGGTTGTGGAACCTACGCTCGTGGGTCCTACCTGATAGATCCTTTTTTTTGTATTACCTCATAGATCCAGTTGTTTGGTGCCACCGATCTGACAGTAGACGAATGGTGTGGAGCCAGTGGGTTCCATCCAAAGGTTGGATGTTAATTGTTGGGAAAGGTGATGGACTGGGTTGACTGAGATCCGACCCGACGTAGTGTTCATTTATATTTTTCTGCGTCTTTATGTATGATTTTGGTTTTTTTCAATTAAAAAAATAACTACAATCAGATTCAAATATATATATATATATATATATATATATATATATATATATATTATTTTTGTTTAATAGTTGTTTTTTATTATAAAAAAGAAATATTGAAAAATACCTCCTTAAATAATCACAGTTAGATGTGGTTGGGTATGAGACCCAACCATATCTTAGTGTAGATATTAGTGTTTCATATTTTATTAGTGTTTCATGTTTTGAAAACCAATCAGGAGTTTTAACTGTTTTTGCCTCTTGGGTTACATGTCATCAGATTGACTATTTAAATCGAGTGGTATATTTATACTATAATAAGAATTATGAATGAGGGTATAGAATTTTTCTTGATTAAAATGGTTATAGTGTATATTGTTTATCTCTAATTATGAGGGTTGAAAATATAATTTTAATTAAAAATTTTTTATCTCATTTAATTCCCTCTCATTAAGTTTTATATTTTAATTTTAATTTTCATTCTCTCTTATTAAATTTTATATATATTTAAGTTATTTTTTCACTAATAAATGCTATTAATTAGATCTATATTCAATAATTTTAACAATATAAAACTTACTCAAAAACAAAATCATCTGATGAAGGGTGATTTGGCATGACCTAATAAGAAGGGGACACATAGACGTGATCTGCTCGAGGGGTGACAACTCAGTCAAATGAACCCAATTTGCAACATTCGGAGCTCAGGCATTCAGCCACCTCGGCTCAAAAACCACCTCGGCGTAGAGATACCCTATTAATTAGATCTATATTCAATAATTTTAACAATATAAAACTATATAATTTAAAACTTACTCAAAAACAAAACCATCTGATGAAGGGTGATTTGGCATGACCTAGTAAGAAGGGGACACATAGACGTGATCTGCTCGAGGGGTGACAACTCAGCCAAATGAACCCAATTTGCAACATTCGGAGCTCAGATTCAGCCACCTCGACTCAAAAACCACCTCGGCGTAGAGACACCTTGACACCCAATCCAGTTCAAGACTAAAGAATCAAAGTGTCAGTTTGGAGCTAAAGAGACAAAACGCCACGTAATCGACTCCAAAGCCCTCCCCAATGGACCCCGAATTTCTCAGGATCACGACGAGACTCATCCTAGCTCCGCCTAAATTGGAGGTAAAGGATAAACCTTATCAACACATTGCTCTCCTTAAAAAATGGACCAGATCTTATCCCCACAGCTCAGAGATCCCAGAGCTCTTTCGTAAGGCCCACGACTACTCCATTATATAAGGACATGAAACCCCAAGGCAAAGGTACGCGTGATTATTTACTCACTAGCATTCAAGCATTCAAGTATTCAGCTCGCATCCACAGTATAGTATTGACTTAAGCATTGGAGCGACCTCACCGGGTTAGCCACCCTAGGTTCTCTGATCTACTATTTTGTAGCTTGGTCCAGCTCGCCATGCAACTAGAGTTTGGATCATCTTCCAGCTAGGAGTATCTAAATCATGCACCATCAATTGGCACAGTCTGTGCGAAATCGATCAAAAGGTCATCCCAATTTTAGTTGTAGTTTTATTTTCCGATTTATCCCAATGGATTCTTCCAGTAACACCGGAAAACGCATCGAGATGAATGTCACTGGGGGGCAAGATCAACAATCAACCTTCCCCCAAGGTCCTACGGTATGCATTTGCCAATTTACTATTCCTCTTACAACTTCAAGAGTCCCATCAGTATCTGTACCACAGGGCACTATGCAAGTGAGCGTCCCGCTTTCCCCAATGGGCACAACTTTCTCCGAGCCATCTGTGGTACCTTTTGGAATCGGTCACTCCCAATTCCATGACCTCGTTCAGTACGTCTGGATAATGCAGATCTAGATGCAGCAAGTCCAACAATTCCAACATTATCAACAGTACTATTTGTACTAGCAGTATCAACACTAGTTCCCACCACTACAGTCGAACTAGCAGCCAATTCCAGCCTGACACCCAGGGTTGCATCAGGGCTAGAACCCGAATCGGCCTAGAACTAGCCAGACGATCCCCCTATCGGGGTGAGGGGACCTCACAGGTGCCGGTTCTTCCCAAGGGTCAAGTTTCGCCCCATGGGAGGAGAGACGATTAGCACACTCCTCCAATCTCGCAAGGAAATTTTAGAAACAAGCTCAGGGATAGTCAGCTCAATAGGGCCAATCCGGCTCGGCACTCCCGGCAGGAAAATAACGACTCGTAAAGAGATAACAACTAGCCCAGAGTTTGAGGTGCGAACTCGAGGTGGGACCCCTCTGTCCCTCGTGATAGCCGGTGCGAACCCCACAACCAAGAGAACCTGGCAAGAAGGAACCAGGATCCACTTCGCGATAATGTCCATAGTGATGCCGAGATACCAGATCAGACTAAAATCAACTGTACCAACGCTAAGCCGGTGAAGCAGCAGTGGCAACGTCGCAAGACACGCCACTCCTCAGCCAGAAACAGTCCACCAGCGAAGCCAAAACAGCAAGCAGAGCAAGCTAAAGAAAAAGAAGAAGTGAGCTCGATGGCAACGAAGACTACGCCTCCATTGCTTTGCCGGTCATCTCCTCTGTCTCCTGAGCTCCTAGAAACTCCAATGCCGAAAGGCTTCAGGGTGCCCCTGTTAGAAAAGTATGACGGGTCGTTTGACCCCAACGATCATGTGGATTCTTTCCAGTCTCAGATGTACCTAGCTGGGGCTAACGAGTCCTACATGTGTGTGGCCTTCTCCACTACATTTAGGGGGGTAGTCCAAACTTGGCATCAGAACCTCATGCCGGGCTCCAGCAAAAGCTGGTCCCAATTTTCTGACATGTTTACTACACACTTCATTACCAGCAAGAAGTGCCCGAAGTCGCAAAAAATCCTTCTGAACGTGGTTCAAAGGGAAGGAGAATCAATCAGAAGCTATATAAAGTGCTTCAACGATAATTGCTTGCAGATATTGAACCTCAATCTAGCGGTGCAACTCATTCTGGCAAAGAAAGGAATCACCCATAAAGAGTTCAAGTGGCACGTGGTAGCTAACAAACCAAAAGATATCACCGAGTACCTCAAGTTGGCAGATCAGTTCATCGGTACCGAGGAGGAGATCAACCAAAAGATTGACAATCCACCACCGGAAAAGAGGAAGAGAGAGAATGAAGGGACGAGCAATGATGGGCAAAAAAGAAAGAAGAGCAAGTCCCCAAGCAGGGGAAGAAGCAAGTCAAGGAGTCGGTCCCCCTCGCGCACCCACAAGCCAGGTCGGCGCTCCAGGACCCCGCCCGTGGAGAGAACGAGCTATATGCCTTTGAATGCTAAGCGAGGAGAGATCTTAATGGCTATTAAGAATTCATCCATTGTCAAATGGCCTCCCAGGTTAAGGGGAGACCCGACAACAACAAACCCGAATGTCTACTGCCATTTCCACCAAGATCATGGACACAGCACGGAGAATTGTAGGAATCTCCGCGACGAAATCGAGGAACTTATCTGCCATGGGTATTTGAAGAATTACATATTGCGAGAAGAGAGGGGGCAAGCAGACCAATAGGCATATCGACAGGGGAACCAGAGGAGGAATGGCCCCGAGGCCAGTAGGCAAAATGAGCAACCACCTCGACAGTTGCCAAAGGAAAGACCAGTCTGCGAGGTGATCAACATGATCACTGACGGGTCCATCATTACTGGATGTACATCGGCAGTTGGGAGGAGCTCGGTCCACGAATTGGAGAACGAAGGTGAAAACCCGCCAAAGCGACCTCAGCTTGAAGAACCAATCTACTTCATAGAGGACGATGCGCGCAGGATCTAGTACATGCATGATGATGCTTTAATAGTGAAGTTAAGGATTAATGACTTCGAGGTCAAACGCATCTTAGTGGACTCAGGCAGCTCAGCAGACATACTCTTCAAGGAAGCCTTTGACAAATTACAATTACAACAAAGCGACCTGAAACCGGTAGATACACCTTTGATAGGGTTCAGTGGCGAGGAGGCCATACCTCTTGGTCGAATCACAGTACCCGTGGAAGCCAGCACGTGGCCAAACATTGTGCGATTCGAACACACGTTCTTGGTAGTCACGATTCCCTCCCCCTACAACGTGATAGTAGGTTGGCCTATCACGCACGTTTTGCATGTGATAGTGTCCACTTACTACTTAGCAATGAAATTCCCAATTGATTACGGAGTGGGAGTCGTGCGAGGTGACCAGCTCGAATCTCGCATCTGCTACGTGGCTGCCTAGGAAAAAAAAACTAGTAGAGGACGTCAAGCTCAAGCAACCGACGGAGTATACCGACGAGTGAGTTGCCCCGAAAGAAGAAACAGTCCACATACCAGTCTCTGCTGACGAACTAGCCAAAACTCTTCAGATCGGTAACTCGATCAGCGAACCACTTCGAACCTAGCTAGTAAGTTTCTTACTTGAAAATTTAGATATTTTTGCTTGGTCCGCGGTAGAGATGCCCGGGATTGATCAAAAAATTATAA